TGTAACTGTTTATTGCACAACAGTGCGTGGATTCCTTGATGTACAAATGTAGGGGTACTCTTTAGTAATTACTATCCTATATATTGTCACCTATGTAGTGAGGTGAGGTAATATGTTTTATTGGATCAACTTCCGTTGATGAGAAATATGCTTTTAGTTACCTCACCTACTTCATGTCTCTAATATCCCAGAACAGACATGAATACAACTGCTCTGCAAACAACCTGCATCGTTTATCTGAACCATATATTGGAGTGTGTAGGGGAGCCTGGACGGCCCTTCCTTGACCAGAACAATGTCTTCAGTGCTAGGCCTTGTTCCGGCCTTGTCCAAAGTATGGATCTCTAACAAACCACCCTAGGTCTGACTCGAGCCAGGGCACACACATATGTACGCACGCAGGCCAGGTCAGAAAGGGGAAAGTCAGGAGTGCTGCCCAATTATGCAGAACTTGTACAGGACAGTGAGACCAGGCCAAAAAGAGCAGAAACAACCTGCTCAACCAGTACATCCCATTTTTTTGATAAAAGAAAAATTCCAGAGACAGCCAGAAAAAGTATTAATGAAATGCTTTTGCAATATTTTGGCATTGCAAAATGTATCTAGATACTGGCATAATAGGTATTTTATGCAAAATGTAGTTTATTGGTAGATATTACTAGAACGACCAAGTCTCGCTTTGCTATAAATATAAGGGTAGAAGATCTAATCAGTGGGAGGGATTGAGTAAGGTGTCCCCACTATCTTACTCACTGCAACAAGAAGGTGAACCAATTCCTACTGCCCGATGCATTGTGGACGCCTCTGCAAGTGGAGAAAGAAAGAGCCCTTGACCTCCTGTCTGATAATCATAAGGGTAACAGCATTGGAACTCGTGTGTGTGTGTGTGTGTGTGCGTGTGTGTGTGTGTGTGTGTGCGTGTGTGTGTGTGTGTGTGTGCGTGTGTGTGTGTGTGTGTGTGCGTGTGTGTGTGTGTGTGTGTGCGTGTGTGTGTGTGTGTGTGTGCGTGTGTGTGTGTGTGTGTGTGCGTGTGTGTGTGTGTGTGTGTGATGCAAAGGAATAAGTATATGTATATTCATATTCTTATAACTGAGTAGCTTGTGCATTGTTCTAGGTAAAGGTGTTACTATACTGTCTGTGCTAACTATCCCATGTATTGAAATAGATCTGTGTAACTGCACTGCTTTCCTTTACTATTCTGTGCACAATAAAGTTAACAAGAGTTCATCTGAGGTGTTTTTACTGTCTCCTCTTGTATCTAAAAATTGAACCACATGACAGGGTGGATATCATATATATGGAGAGGAGACCCTTTTGATTAGTAACAGCTTACATTTGAGGGTCCTAAAGGACAGAGCCAGAGAAAGTAGCTTCAATGACCAGCTTGCTCTTGTGGGAGGCACCCAAACCAGTGTAAATGAGAGAAATAGAGGGCCACAGAGACTCAGGAGGATGTAGGTTTGCTAAAGGTCTATACATTCTGTTCTGTTACTGTAACTTAAATGGAAAGTCTATCTAACTTAGTTGATAGTGAAACCTAAGGTTAAATATGCCTAAAAGGTGTTTTGTTTAAAATTTATTTTTCTCTAATGCTTTGTTATAACTGCTAAATAAAATACTTTATCTCAAGAAGGCTGTTGGTCAAGATCACAGGTGACAGGTGGCTGAAGGGAGAAA